GCTCTTCGCCTTGTGTAGGACTGTCCTTTCTGGACTTGGACTCTTTCTCCTGCAGTTGATCTTCCAGCTGGTCCCTGATCGCTGCTTCACACTTCTCTGTTTCTCCCAGTTTAGGATTCATCTCCATTTCTCTCCTCTTCTCCCCCCGTTGATGTTGCTCCCTCAGTTCTTTCTCTCTGCTGCTCAACCGCTCTTCATAGTGGACTCTCACCTCTTCTTCCATCCTGTTTTGTACCTCTGTAGATCTTGTTTTCATCTCCTCCATTTCCCTCTGCAGGCCTTCATATTTCTGTCTCCATTCCTCCATTTCTTTCGGAAATCCCTGTGTGAGCTCCCTCTGTCTCTGCTCCTGTCTCATCTCTGTCTCTCTCTCTTCATATTGCTCACTCAGTTCTCTCTCTCTTCTACTAATCTCTTCTTCATACTTGACTCTTAGCTCTTGTTCCAGTCTGCACTGCTCCTGTGATATTGTCTCTCTCAGGGGCTCTGTTTCTCTCTCCTTCTCCCTCTCATATCTCTGTCTTAACTCTTCCATTTCCTCTTCATGTTTCTCAGTTATCTCTACTGTTTGGCTCTGGAGGTCCTCCCTGAGTTCCCTCTCTATCCTGAATTAACTGCTTCTCACCGTTAATTCAACTGACAGCATCTGTCGGCCACATACGGTCAAATGCTCAAATGAACGTTTATGATTGGACCTCGAGCTGAGTAAATCTGAGTAAAGCTGAGTAAATCTGAGGAGAATCGTGACATTTTGTCCCTTGTTGATTGTTTTAAAAAATACAAGATAAAAAATGCTGAATCCGAGAGTGTGTGGTGTGTTCAAAGTGAAAGTAAAAGCAGTTTCACCTGCAGCCCATTCCTCTACAACACGATTCATCTGTCAGACAACTAACGACCAAGCTGACTGTTAAATGAGATATACGGTACCTTCAGTCGCCATCCTTTCATATTTCTTAAGAACCAGTCGCAGTGAAAAGGTTTTAGTACTGTTGAGAGAAGCTGTGATGATCTTTCATTTTTAAGTGTGGCGGATGTGTGGTTTCATCTCGCAGTCAAAGTCTTCCTGTCGCGCACACAGAGACGCAGGAGAGAAAAGACGCCCTTTCACAATGGAACAGCTCTACGCCACGCTAAGACAATCCTTCAGAAACAAATCATATTGTCTTGCACTGAATCTCCATACCGCTGAATTCCAGGAGAGGGCATTCCTGATACTCCTGTAGGATTGTTGGGTTCCTGTAGGATTAAGAAGCACCTTTCAGTTAGCAACTTGTTTAGATTTGGAAACCACAGCTTGATTAGACATTAAATTGGTTATCAAGATTCAAGATTCAAGATTTCTTTATTTGACATATACACCAAGTGTATTGGAATGCTTGCTCATTCAGCTGTACCCAGTAACATGAGAGGAAATAAAAACAAGCACAAATGACCAACAGACATGGACAGTAAATTTAGACAATAGACCTTACATTGTCTACAGCCAAGACAGGACATGCTGTAGTGCAAACAGTGCAGTACCTTAAAGTGCAGGTGCTAATTTAAGATGTTTATGGTGCTTGGGGGAAGAAACTGTTTTTGAAACTATTTATCAGTGTTCTGATACTGTGATACCTCCTACCAGAACCCAGGGGTGAAAACAGATCGTGGCCACGGTGAATTGGGTCCCGAAGTTTACCTCTAACCCAGTTGTGGCTTGTGTCTGAGATGGGAAGAGAGCCATCAAGAAGCCTTTAAGATTAAGATTACTTTATTGGCCATATACAGTCTCTTGCATTAGGAATTCATCTTTTCACATACCCCAGCTTGTTCTCCACGAGACACACAGACAGGGAGAGAAGTGGGGGGTCAGAGCGCAGGGTCAGCCATTTATACAGCGCCCCTGGAGCAGCTGGGGTGAAGGGCCTTGCTCAGGGTGTCAACAGAGTAGGATTCCTCTGCCGGGCATGGGATACGAACTGGCAACCTTCCAGCCACAGGCTGAAATCCTTAGCCACAGCACCACCGCACTGCCTAGCCCTCCAATCCCATTTATCCTACATTGGAGTCTCCAGGACAAAGGGAACAGTCTCCTCCTGATCCACTGTTCCAGATAATTCCAGCGGTGTTTCTGTGGGATTGAGGTGGGCACCAATAACCTTCCAACCTATCAAACACTTCCTCCATCCTTTCTCTATATGCATGTCAAGGAGGCCAGGAGGTGCTGTTCTTCTCTGCTTGCCAGCATGACGGTGAGCTCTTGCACCACAGCCAACAAAAAGATGTTGAAGAAGAAGGAGGAGGAGATGACTAAGGAGGTGATGAAGAGGCTGGAGAAGGAAGAAAATGGAGGAGGTGGAGAAGAAGAAAGGAGGAGAAGGAAAAGATGAAAGGGAAGAAAATGATTAAGTTTTCACTGTGACATTTGTTTGAGCTACAATTAAGGGTGGCAACACTTTAATCACCTGAGCCCATTATCTGCAGGTCACTGAAACCAAATGAGCTTTAACTCACCTATTACCTTAAATTATATCAAATAAATGGTTCTCCTTATTGATAGTCTTACAGGCCATGTTTTTAAAAATCATGCAAAAAACAGATGGATCTTTTGCATATCAAATTTATTTTTATGTGCTAGAAAACACTTCAACAAAGATAATTATTTTCAAAAACTTAGAACAAAATTCTAACAAACAATATTGTAAATGGATAGGAACTAGTAATAGCTCTCTTCCATGCTGCAAAGAGAAGAGAGAAAACACAACGTTTCGGCTATGAAGCCTACTTCCACACCTGAAGAAGGCTTCACAGCCGAAACATTGCAGACTGCACATGCTGATGCAGCTACCCACGTGAACTACTTATAAATGGATATTGATATTAAATATGAATATTGATATAACATTTTTCATCCATTGTTAGCTTTGCTAAGCACCTTCTCTTGAGTTTAAGATCAAGCAGACAAATCATTAGAAAGAATGTATCTAAAGAACAGCAGCAGAAACTGACAAATTCAATCAAGTCCCGTCATTTCCACTGTAAACAATTTATCCCACTGTAAATGATAAAAATGGCTATCTGGAAGTTCCTGAAGATTGAGAATCTAAAACTTAGGGTCTAGAAGTGGTGGGAGATGTTAAACATTCTGCACAATGTTGCACGGCTGGAGATCATCTTCTCATCCCAAAATATCTTGTTTCCTATAGATCCCCCTGGGAATCTGAACGGATCTCAGGGATCCTCACTTGGCACCACCCTTTGTATGGAGCTGGTCGATGTTTTCAGGTCCCTTATCAATCAATGTCTGTGCTCCACTCACTTAGAAATCGGATCAATCGGCTTTTTATTTTGTCCAGTCATCATGTGATGAATCCCCTTTGTGGAAGGTGGCTCCCCTGGGGTACTTTCAGGAACCAGCTGGGTGAGGTCTGGGATTAACGGACACAGGCAGGGTGATAAGCGTTCCTTCAGTTTGTAAACCTTTTAATGTCCTCAAGCTTTTCATGACTTTCTACCAGGGTTCCTGCTCTCTTAGCTTCACGTGTGGTTCAATCTTCCAGCTGTAATCTGGGACTCCGATCTTTCTGGAAGCCTGGGTACTGTTGGTTGTGTTGCTCGGCTCCTGGAAGATCGGAAGATCGTGGCACCTTTCCGCCTCTTCCCTCGCCTTTTTCTTTTCAGTCCGAACACCTTCTTCCATCTCTTCCCAGAAGCGGTCCTCACAGCGTTTTCTGTAGCTTTCCTTCCGCTTCCTTCAGCACCTCCTCCCCTGGGAAATCTCCTCATTCCTCGCACATTCCGGTCCCCTTCCCCAAACGTCTTGACTCCCTATCCTAAATTCGTAGGGTCAACATCTCCTCACCTCGTTCTCACCTTGCTGGGAAGCCCGCTGCAGCTCCTCGTATTTCTGCTTTAATTCCTTCAGTTCTTCCCTGAGCTCTCTGTCTTTCTCATTCAGTTCCTTGTCACACCTGGCCTTGATTGCTTCTCTTTCCCTCTCTGCTTCTTCCAGTTTTATCTGCAGCTCTCTCTCTCTCCTCTTCTCTCTCTCTTCATAGTGCTCTCTCAGCTCTTCTTGCATTCTGCGCTGTTCCTCTGTAGATCTCCTCCATTTCCCTCTGCAGGTCTTCGCACTTCTGCCTCCATTCCTCCATCTCTTTCAGAAATCCCTCTTTAATCTCCCTCTCTCTCTGAGCCTGCTCCTCTCCTCTGCTCCTCTCCTCT